CTTACTGGAAAGAAATGCATTGAACTTGATCATGCTCAATTACCAGAGAACCTGCACAGGTAGTTTTCCCATTGTTATTGTTACTGTTACTGTTGTTTGTTCTTTTTTCATATAATATTCTTAATGGAAAAAATTGCATTGAACTTTATAATGCTTAATTATCACAGAACCTGCCCAGGTGGTTTTCCAATTGTTATTGTTACTGTTGTTTTTTTAATTATTAAAGCTATTGTTTAATGTTGCGATTTCATTGTTGGAATGATGGTAACTTTTTCACTACCATATGTATAAAACTAAGCATGATGGCAACTCTTAATCACAGAAAACAAATAATCAAATATTTTACTTTTTTTCTTAGTATCCTTCAGAACTTGATTTTATTCTAAATTTTAATAAAAATATCTATTGCCCTCATTCCATTCCTAACAGTGTTATTGTTACTTTGCTTTGATTGCATAATTTTCAATGTAGACTAATTAACTACTTGCTTGTAAATAGCCAGCATGAGAAGCGCTGTTTAAAAAAATGCATCATACTCCTGTATTTGAGATTATTAACACTGCTCAGTTTCAATTACCATAATTTTGCTGTTCATGTTTTTATCTCATTTTGAAATAAACTTATCTTGTGTTAACTTCAATTATTTATGTGAATGTGGCAATTATATCAAGACACTGTCCATTTTTTATGACGCATGGGGATCCTCCTGGGGTTTAGGGGAGATGCATGTAAAAAAATGGGGCTTCACAGGAGGGGACATAGGCCAAGAAATTAGCCTCTGAATGGGAGGTCACCCCAAATAATTCCCATGACCAGCAATAACAGATACAATAAAAATTATCCATTATATGAATGAGCTGGCTCTCAGACCCCTTTGATTTAACTTTGTGCTGACATAAACACGGAACCCGTCCCAGGCTCCTACGCATGGAAATTCCCAGTTCTCAAGGAAGCTATCAAGTTCATGCTTCCATTTGGCTCTGTTTCTTGGCAAGTAAACACATCTGTTGCAAAGAGTTGACACCAGTATCTTACATACCTGGTTAAAAATGACACTTGCAGTTGATTCTGCAACACCGAACAGGTCTTCTATCTCACCAAGAATGAACTGAAACATTGCTCAACTTGTACACAAACGTTTTTTGAACGCAGTATCGTCCCAACTTCAGTAACCATTTCTCCACCACAAGGAACTTCTTTTTTTGATCCGCACCCTGTTCTTTCCTTGGTCTCTTCATAGTCGCGGTATATAAGCCAAGTGCCTCAACCATATCTAGTTCTCCGTCCATAGTCTGCAAAAGCTGCTTCCTCGATTGATTTTTCCTCGTTAAAAACATTTGCATTTCCATTTCTTACCTTTCTTGGCGACGTTGAGAAATGGACTTCAGAATTTGAAATTCGGCCATCTTTATTTTGTTTGTATATTTGCGCGCTCAGAGTTTATTTTGCGCTTCTTTACTTCTGAGAATAGAGCCCAGTCTTTTCTTAAAGAGCCTAAAAGTCGTCTACTTTTATGCGTTTCGTTTTTATACCAGACAGCTCTAACGTCTCAGATGTTAAATGTGTCAAGCCGACTTTAATGTCTCTAGTATAAAAACGGCCAATGTTTTTAAATCCTTTCTAGCTGAACAAAAGGCTGCAATGCACCTTGGATTGTAATTTTGTATATATGAATTATTTATTATATTTTATCTTTTTAATATGGTACATCTTATAGTTATTAGTTGTAGCATCTATATTTTGTAGTTGTTTTGAGGGCCACAGAGTCATCAGTGTCAGGGCTACTGTTAAGTGTTTTTACCCTCTCTAAACAAAGCCCACTATTATTATTATTATGATTATTATTATTATGATTATTATTATTATGATTATTATTATTATGATTATTATTATTATGATTATTATTATTATGATTATTATTCTCATTATTATTATTATTATTACGATTATTGCAATTGCCATGGCGGCGGCTGTGTCTTTTAGCTGCTCCAGAAAGCCGAAAGTGAAATGGACGAACCAAATGAATAATGACGTTCTGGAGTGTAAGAGACGAGTGCAAGAGCTAGTTGCATCGGATAGCATGCCTTTGAATCGAAACGGCAGAAAGAAAGGCTACATTGAAGTCATGAAACAGCTTTGGGAAGAGAAGGGATACGGACATCTTGCTCTTAAAGGTCAGAATTTACGTGATCAAGCATGAAGGCTGGAGAAATGTCGGGAGGGTTTGGCCGATGAGAGCTGTGTGAACGGTGCAACAGTGATAAGTATAGATGAGTCTATATTACTAAGTGGAAATAGTGATACGGTATTTGTTGAAGGAAACAGAAATATTGAGAGAGAAGATGCTAATCAAGCGACGCCAAATTTACATATGTCCACAGTGCAACTCCCGGAGGAGCTGCAGTCTGATCAATCGAAGCGTGAAAGGTTATCTGACGAGGTGCCGGGATCACTGCCCGAATGCAATACGCTTCACACACCATCTTCATTTCTCTGGGGCCAATACGATGGAGGAAGATCAATAATTGTTAATGTGTTGACCATTGAGAATACCTACAATGAAATATCCAAATGGCGTAAAAACACATTTTTAGTTCCTTTCGGAAAAACGGGAAAAAAATTCATCAACACATTGAGAGAACTAATTAACAAATGGAACAATGGTTCAGAAATGGAATTCATTGCTCTTAAAGTCGCTATTATTCTCCTAGCGCTTTGTCTACAAAAGCCCGGTCCTAAATTGAAATCGAAAGATCACCAGGATTGTTTGGCAAAGCGTCTTGTCTTATGGAAGAAAGGCGAGGATGATACTATCCTCCGTGAAGGGCGCATGATACAGAGGCGTTTTGGAGACTCCCAAATTGCAAATCTTGGGGTGACGGGACAAGTCAATTCGGTGTTACGATATCTAAGCGATGATTAAGGTGGAGGGATCTTACCCCTTTCTGATGACGTCATGGAGCAGTTGAAGGAAAAACACCCAGAGCCACAGGTTGTCCAATTAGGGTCTGTCCTGTTTGGCCCTATTAAGGACGTTCCAGACACTCTGTACTATGAGATCAATGAAGAAATGGTCAGGGACGCCACTCTAAGAACTAAGGGCTCGTGCTGGCCCTCTGGTGTAGATGCAAACAGCTTCAGAAGAATTCTTACTTGTAAATCCTTTAAGAGATCAGGAACAGAACTATGTGAAGCTATAGCCAGCATGACCAAATGCCTATGCACGGAGTATGTCGATCCTTGGGGCCTAGAAGCAATTTTAGCGAACTGACTTATTCCCCTCGACAAAGGGGAAGGAGCGGTGCAATAGATTGGAGTAGGCAAAGTGTTAAGGAGGATTATGGGAAAGTGTGTCACAAAGGTCACCAAGCCGAATGTTATAGATGTGAGTGGCTCTTTACGAGCGTGCGCTGGTCATAAGAGTGGGAGCGAGGCAGCCATTCACGCAATGCGGGAACTTTTTGAACATAACAACAGCGTCGACACTTGATAAACTTAGCTTTGCCGCACATGTTGACACCACTCTCAACTCCAAGGCAGGCACAAAGTCAAGTACCACTTCCAATGATCCTATTGAGACCCCTTCTTCGGATGGTATCATGTGTCCCTTCTGCAATTTCAGGCACGAGTTAGAAGTTTGCAGATCTTTAAGACGTCGCCCTTACCAGGAGCGCATTCAGTTCTTATCATCCAAAGGGCTCTGCTTTGGATGTTTGTCGCGAGAGCACCTGGCGAAAGTCTGCCCAGAAAGAAAATCCTGCAAGATAGATGGCTGTCCTAAAAAGCATCCGACCGTCCTGCACACACAACCTCGGGAAAGACCCAAAGAGGACACCACAGTCGGAAGTGGAATTGGAGTTGCTGATGGCACATCACAAGTGCACAACGGCATGGCATGTATTAACAACGCCTCCTGTAGCCTCACTGGGGCCGGATTTTCTCGGACAGGCATGGCTATCCTTCCAGTCAAAGTCAGACGTAGAGGAAGCGAGAAAGCAATCGCCATATACGCCTTTCTAGACAACGGAAGCAGTTCTACCTACTGCACAGAGGCTCTCATGAGGCAACTCGACATTAATGGTCCTAAGACAAAGATTTCCCTCACCACTCTAGATAAGAAAGATAGCCTGGTTGACAGTTTTCTAGTGCATGACCTGGAGGTAACCGATTTAGACGAGAACTACATAGTAAAACCTCCCACTTTGTACACCAGAGAGGAGATACCAGTTTCAAAGGATGATATACCGTCACAAGAGGACGTCGACAGATGGCCCCACTTTGACGGTGTTTACCTGCCAACTGTTAATTGCCAGCGATGTACCAGAAGCCCTGGATCCACTAGAAGTGAAGAATAGTCAGCATGGTGGCCCTTACACTACTAGAACTCGCTTGGGCTGGGCAGTTAATGGTCCTTTAAAGCGCGATTGACGGAGTTTGTGTGCAACCAGTTTCTTCGCTAAAGCTGGCACTGAGCTGTGTCAGATGGTCGAAGATTTCTATAACCGCGATTTTGGGAGTCCATTGCTGATAGCAAGACTGAGCCGTCCCAGGAGGAGGGCGGCTTCACGAAACGTGCGGAGGAGTCCCTTACATTGAAAGATGGACACTATGAAATCGCCCCACCCTTCAAAGATTTAAAGTGCCCAACTCCAAACAACCGTATTCAGGCTGAACAACGCGCCAGCTGGTTAAAGAAGAAGCTTTAGAAGAGTCCTGTGTTACTTAAAGATCACACAACCTTCGTTGAGGAGCTTGTTGCAAAGGGGTTCGCCTGAAGAGTTCCCCAGTATCAGAAGGAGTCTAATTTTGTGGGAAAGACATGGTTCATCCCCCATCACGGTGTATACCACCCCCACAAGCCTGGAAAAGTTCGCGTAGTATTTGACTGCTCTGCTAAGTACAAGGAAAAATCCCTCAATGACTTGTTGTTGAAGGGACCAGACCTCACAAATTCTCTTTTGGGGGTCCTCACCAGATTTCGACAAGAGCATGTGGCAGTCATGGTGGAAATCGAGGCAATGTACCACCAGGTAAAGGTTCCATACACTGACCGCTCCTTTCTCCGCTTTCTGTGGTGGCCGAATGGCGATTTGTCCTGTGCACTGAAAGAATACCAGATGTCAGTTCACTTGTTTGGTGCCGTATCTTCTCCAGCTTGTGCTATTTTTGCACTCCTAAAGAAGGCAGATGATAACAGCCAACATTTCTCTGCCGATGTTACAAGCACCGTCAGAAGAAACTTCTATGTCAATGACTGTCTGAAGTCATTGCCTTCAGTCAAAGATGCTAATGCTCATGTCAGCGACTTGCGCAGCTTACTACAGCGAGGGGGCTTCCGACTAATGAAATGGATCAGCAGTGATCAGGAGGTTCTTGAGACTATACCAGAACCAGAGCGCACATAGACCATCAAGGAGATCAGCCTCCAACATGTAGTTGAATGAGCACTCAGCATGCAATGGAGAGTAAACACCAATACCTTTGGCTTTGATGTCAATGTCAAAGAAAGGCCCCCTACGCGGAGAGGTATCTTGTCCATTATTGGATCAGTGTTTGACCCCTTTGGTTTCGCTGCACCATTTGTCCTTACAGCCAAGAAAATTCTACAAGACCTTTGCAAGATGAAATTGGGCTGGGACAAGGAAATACCTCTAGAGTACAATGTACGTTGGCAAAAATGGCTTATAGACCTTCCTATGCTGTCAAAGCTTGCGATCGACCATTGTTTTAAACCAGCCAACTTTGGGACCATTGCTTATAGCCAGTTGCACCATTTTTCAGACGCTTCAGAGATTGGTTTTGGTTCAGTATCTTACCTGCGCCTGGTTGATATCAACGATAGAGTCCATTGTGCCATCCTTCTAGGAAAGTCACAGCTTGCACCTTTGAAGAAATTTACTATTCCTCAGTTAGAGCTTTCAGCAGCAACAGTGTCGATGCGGTCAGGCAAAGCCATAAAGAGAGAGCTAGAACTCTCGCTTACCGAGCAGTGTTACGTTATGTGAACAATGAAGACAAGAGATTTCACACATTTGTAGTTAACCGCACTGCAATCATTCAGAATGGATCCGACCCTAGCCAGTGGAGGTATGTGAGTGGAGAATCTAATCCAGGTGACGACCTCTCAAGAGGGCTATCAGCAGAAACACTGCTTGACCACGAACAATGGATAAAAGGGGCTGTTGAAAACTGGACCAAGAGTGTCACGTGGATTTTTGTATGTTTCTTACCCCCCACGAATTGAACTTTAAACTCTTGATGAAAACTCAAAAAAAAGGAAAATTCAAAGGAATGCGTGAAAGCTCTCTTGTATATTGTTATTCTGGAATACAGTCTTTATTCGAAGTTATCCTGTTGTATACGTTTTATACATTTGGTGCCGAGACCCGGGAATCGAAAACCGGGATTCTACCGCTCTGAAGAACGTCTTGAATGAAATTGTTGTGAATGCGAGCTGGAAGCACGTGGGTGACATGTCGCAGTCTGGGAAGAAGAAATTGAAGAATCTGAGGAAATTTCACGTCGGTCATCGAAAGTTTGTTGAGAAAACTATCGAATATGCTAAAGGGTTAATCGCTGAAGGTAATCTCATCGAAGTGAAAAGGCTGAAATTTCTTTGAACCGCTCTTGAAACAAAGTATTTGGAGCTTCAATCGCTCGACCGTGAAATTGTGGATCTGGTGGATGACGTTGAAGTTTTTGATACCGAAGTCTGTGAGAGCTGTGAGCTAATGAGCTCCATTCAGAAGTGTATTGTAGATATAGAATCTGTTTTGGAAGCTCAAGAAAGTAAGGGAAAGAGCCAGAAATCCCCTTCCGTGGTGCAACCTGGTTCTCCCGAAAGTGCGGGAACTTCTCAAGGTCACGTTTCGAAAGCTTTCACTCATGCAAAGTTACCCAAGCTTGAGCTGAAGAAATTCCACGGAAATCCCATGCATTGGTATCCTTTCTGGGAATCTTTCGAGTCTGCGGTTCACAAGAACCCAAATCTGTCTTCCGTGGATAAATTCAACTATCTGAAGTCACTTCTCACTGGCACTGCACAAAGTTTGGTCGCTGGTCTAGCCCTGACGAGTGCTAACTACGAAAAGGCGGTTGATCTACTGAAACCAAAATTCGGAAATCGGCAGATGGTGATCTCTAGCCACATCGAAGTGCTCACCAAACTCCCCAAGGTGGAATCGATTGGTGAAGTTAAGAAACTCCGAAGCTTGTACGACACAGTGGAATCTCCTGTGGATTAGAAGATATGGAAATCTCTTCCAAGATGTATGGTTGTTTCTTAACACAAATAGTTATGCAGAAATTACCGGAGGAATTTAGAATCGCTATCACTCGCAATCTGGAATCGGAGACATGGAATCTGAAAGATATTTTGGTTGAATTTCACAAGGAACTGGAACTGAGAGAACAATGTCTTGTCAACAACAAAGAGTTCAGATCCTCAAATCAGAGAGGTGGGTTGCCACTTTCTACATCAGCTTTCTACACTAACAGTTCTAAGGATAAGCAGTCTTCTCGTGTTTGGTGTTCATTTTGCAATTAAAACCATCAGAGTTCTAAGTGTAATGTTGTCACAACTACTGAATCTAGAAAGGAAGTTCTAAAAAACAAGGCAAGTGTTTCCTTTGTCTCAAGCAAGGGCATTTGGCACGTAACTGTCAAGCTCATATGAAATGTCTTAAATTTCAAGGAGCTCACCATGTAGCAATTTGTGGTGATTCTCAATCAACCATGGGGGGGCAAGATCAAGATAATGTGGCCAGTGTATCTACCAGTATGTATGTAGATCAGTCTAGAGGGTCTGTGTTGTTGCAGACGGCAACCGCTGAAGTTGTGCGTCCAGATAATGACACTTCTTCCCTAAGTGTTCGCCTGGTATTTGACTCATGCAGTCAGAGATCTTACATAACTAAGAACCTTAAAGACAGACTGAAGTTACCAGTGCTTCGTAGAGAGTCACTTCTCATTTAAACTTTTGGTGAGTCTGATGCCAGACTACAAACATGTGAAATTGTTCAAGTGGGTATCAAACCCATCTGTGATGCAATTGTCTACATACAAGCCTATGTGGTACCAGTCATATGTAGCCCCCTGACCCAACAACCCACAGAGCTCACTCAGTCTAGCTGTGAACATCTGCACGGCCTCTCTTTAGCCGACAGGTGTGGTAGAGGAGATCTGCCTATCAGTATTCTCATTGGTGCTGATCATTATTGGTCATTGGTCGAAGGAACCATAGTGAGAGGTGCACTGTGGCAACCTGTTCCTTTCGCCACCAAACTAGGATATGTCCTCTCTGGCCCCACCATGATTATGTCTCACAATGACAATGGTAACACAGTAAATCTTACTGCAATACATGTTCTGAAAGTGGAAGCAAGTGTTGTCAATCGGGATGAAATTGCCTTTGAACTTGGAAAATTCTGGGACTATGAATCACTTGGGATTCGAAATGACAGTTTGTCTCTGTATGACAAATTTGTTAGCAAAGTTGAATTTACGGAGGGAAGATATCAAGTACAGCTACCCTTCAAGGAAGACCATGAGCTGCTTCCAGATAATTTTGCATTGTGCAAGTCAAGGCTAGTTTCATTGCTGAAGCGTCTGAATTTGAAGCTTGAGGTGTTAAAGCACTATGATGACGTCATCCAAGATCAGGAAAAACAGGGAATCGTGGAACCAGTGGAGCAAGGTACTAATAATGGTGTGGGCAAGGTACATTACTTCTTCATCATGAAGTGATCTGTGTCGACAAGGACACTACTAAACTGCGTATTGTTTATGACGCCAGTGCTCGATCAGGAAGGAACACACCAAGCCTTAATGACTGTCTGTATGCTGGTCCCCCACTGTCTCCTTTCATTAATGACGTCGTCCTTCACTCGTTGTTGTGATGTCACTACTCAACATGCTGATTTCAAAACTGAATTCCCCTCACTATTCACTGGTCTGGGGAAGGTGAAGACAGAAGTACACATAACACTGCAACCTGATGCTCCCTATGCAGATTGAAAACATGGTGACAAATTGTAGCACCTGCGCCAAAGATCGCCCTGAGCCCACAGAACCACTCATGTCAAGCTCTTTCCCCTCCCTACCATGGGAGAGATTAGCTGCTGACCTCTTTGAACTTGCGGGAAAGGTCTATTTGATTGTTGTTGATTACTACTCAAGGTGGTTCGAGATCAGGAGACTAAACGACCAATCATCTTCCAGAGTCATTTCAGTCCTAAAAGAACTATTTTCTACACATGGCATACCTGACATTATTGCATCAGATAATGGCCCGCAATTCAGCTCCAATGCATTTCGCCTGTTTACCACTGAGTACGACTTTCTAAAGTTCCTTCCATGCCCAGCATCCTCAAACCTAATATGCAAGATACAGACCGGCAAAGAGTGCAACTGAGAGAGGACGAATACAGGTCAAAGCGACAGATCTACCATGACAAATGACACCAAGCCTGTGCTCTCCTATCATTGACCACTGGCCAGCAAGTTTGGGTGCGAGACCAGAACCGGGAAGGTCAGATCTTGGGAGCCACAAAACAACCAAGGTCCTACTTAGTGAAGACTGAGATGAACACTCTGCGACGTAACTGGTCCGCTCCAGTCCCAACCAGTTCACCATCAGCCTTTCCCACTGACGGGCCAACTATGGTACCTCAGGATAAAACACTGCCCGTGAACCACACGCCTCCAAGGGTTTCTACCCCCGTCTCAGAGAACCAACCAGCTGAACCTACAACGCCTACTACTTGTAGATCAACAACAGCTGTGTCAACCCAAGGAGGCCCTCCAAATGGTGACTGCTCTGCAACCGAGTGTGTGACACGCTCAGGAGGAATAGTGAAACCACCACAACGGCTAGACCTGTGAACAAACTGGCATTAACTTTTTGTATTAGTATTGTTACATTCTTGTTGAGTTTACTGAACCGTGTACACAAGGTTACTCTCAAACTTTGGGGGGAGATGTTGGATTAGTTGTTTATTACATCAGACTTCTGGTGTTCTGGTTAGCAAGGCCCCGTTGCATGTTGGGAGCCATGTGCTTTGATGTTCGGCCATCTTGTATGTACTACATCTGTGTGCGGAATAAATCTTTACTTTGAAGCCTAAATATTACACAGGGTTGTGATGCTGTTGTAAATATCAAATATGGGGGGTACTGGGACTAAGACAGCCTTTACCTTAGTACAATATAGCTCAGCTAGCAAACAGTCTTTAGTAGCTGCATTTACTAGTTTTCCCACCCTACCCACCCTGAGTAGTTTTTGGTAGTATATTCATTTCCTTTATGTCTGACAGTTTTGCTGTTTTTACAACTTATGTCTTAAGTCTTATGGCCTTGAATAACAGACCACACACCAAGATTTATTGTAACTGATGTGCTTGGTACTTGAAACAAGTGAAACTAAAACAGGAAGAGAGCAAAAATTACAAGTTGTGACAAAGGAAAATCAGAATAAAGAAATAAAAAGTCACAAAGAGACTGGCAAAAACTTATCAGAACTGCACTAACCATGGACCAAAATCAACTGAGACCAAACTATACTGCAAAACTATCATAGAATATGCAGAAAATAAAACTATAAAAACTTAGAAAGGTGCTAACGATGATGAAACAGCAAAGAAACGCTAACGAGGGGGGCAAAAACTGACAGAAAGGAATAAAAACTTAATTGTGCAAACAAACCAAATGAAAGGACGAAAAGAGCTATAAACTAATTTCGCAGAAAACAAATAATAGAAAAAAATGTTACACTTGCATGTTCCACATTAATTATTGATGACTGATGCTTAATACAAACACAAGAGACAGTATGGATGTTCTCCCCCTAATCTGGCTGTACCTAGCATTGAATGCAGGTCAAACTTGCTGCAAACTGTTGCTTCTTCAAAGTTTCCAAGACAGAGAAGAGATTGGACAGATACAGAAACCTCTCTTTTGTGGGAACTCTGCGAGACTGCTTATTCCCTGGGAAAGCTTACTGGTAAAA